CGATAGTCGCTCTCCGCTCGTATTAATCGACCGTGGCATCAGAATAAATGCCGAATATTAGCGAAAAAATATTCCATGGTCGCTCTACACTCGTATTAATCGGCCTTGGCATCAGAATATTTATCGCGTAAATATTCTGGAGGTTGTATTAAAGCCTTGGGCACGCAAACATTTTTGGCGCAGACTTTGGACATTCCAACAGGACTCAGCACCATCGAACTCAACACCCGCCAACCAAATGAGCGAGGTTCCTCGCTTCATTTCCAGCCCACAATGGTCACCAAAGTTTCCGGATACCAATCCGTTGGACTATTGTATCTGGAACACTTTTGGAAAGCAAGGTTGGCACTAAAAAATACCAAAGTGTCGATCATCTCAATGCAAGCGCTTCGCCGGGAATGGGCAAAAATACCGCAGGACAACATTCGGGTAGCGTGTGACGGTTTCATTGGCCGTTTGAAGGCCATAATTCGTGCCAAAGGGAGTAATTCGAACAAATCTAAACTTATTCTAAAATTTGATGCTATTTCCGACATTTTTTGCTTTCGTTCAATAAAATTTAAAAAAAAAGAATGTAAAAATTATGGCGTTTGACTTTGTTGCAGTTTTTTTTTATTTCATCCTGTATAAGTAAAAGAATTAAATCTTAGTTATTCTGCTTATAAGCCGTTGAAGTGATTTCCACAATTCTTATCAATTCGGAATAGTCTACTTCCATAAAGGATAAAACCTAGAAAAGTGAATATTATTAGTTAAATTTTTTTCCAATTTTTATTTATACATTTTCTATAGTTTTTCTACGCTCCGCAACACTATTTGCTGGGGGTATTATACACAGTACATATTATCGTTCGATCCTCACGAAATTTTGCATGGGAATAGGGTTAGGGTCAAAATTAAGGCCAATTGTTTTGGAGATGCAAATGTAGGGGGTTCAAATGGTCCAAAAATTAAAACTTTTCTGATTTTGCTGTTACTCTACAGGTCATAATTTAAAACCAATCGACACGGTATTTTGTATAAAAAGAGGGTTAAGGACAGGGAATATGCCCAGCATTTTATATAACAATCGGATTATATTTAGCCGTAAAGTGGACCACAACTTTCGTGTGAAATTGTTTTGAATACCTAACAACTCGAGGGTTTGCGTAAATATTGGGCAAATGCCCCCGCTCAGAATGGGTAAGGGTAACATCTGGGCAGGGTTCTATGACATCATTTCAAAAGCGAAATCTTCCAAATTCGATTTTGACAAACGGGGCTTTCAGCATATTGTAGTGTTGTAGTATATCCCATGATTGGACTGCACGACTTTAGCCCTTGCTTACTTGTTATACCCTCCACCATTCTATGGAGGGTATACAACCTTTGTCATTCCGTTTGTAACTACTCCAAATATTCATAATAGACCTTACAAATTATATATATTCTGGATCAGCGTAAAATTCTAAGACGATCTAGCGGTGTCCGTCTGTCTGTCAGTCAGTCTGTCTGTCAGTCAGTCAGTCTGTCTGTTGTAATCATGCTATCTTTCGAACGAATTGAGATTGAAGGCTAAAATTTTGCATTCATGCTTATTTTACCAGTAGGCAGGTTAAGTTCACAAATGGGCCATGTCGGTCCACGTTTTCGTACAGCCCCCATATAATGGTACCTCCCAATACTCGGTATTTGGATGATTTCAGCAACATTAATCACCGGAATTGTTTCAAATTTGGCATTTGAAGTTCGTACTGGATACTACAGTCTAAAACAGAAAATTATCTGTGGAGGTCCACGTCTTCGTATAGCCACCATATAACGGTATCTCCAGATATTCGGTATTTTGACGATTTTAGCAACAATATACATCGAAACTATTTCAAATTTAATGTTTCAAGTTCGTAATGGATACTACAGCTTATGGCAAAAGAATTCGTATGCAAGTCCAAGTCCTCGTATAGCCCCCATATAATGGTACCTCCCGATATTCGGCATTTGGATGATTTCAGCAACATTATTCACCGGAATTGTTTAAAAAAATCCGTACTGGAAGCTCCTAATGGGTACTACAACCTAAGACAGAATATTGTCCATGCAGGTCCACGTCTTCGTATAGCCCCCATGTAACGGTAACTTCCGATATTCGGTATTTTGACGATTTCAGTAACATTATTTACCGTAATCATTTCAAATTTCGTACTGGAAGATCCTAATGGGTACTACAACCTAAGGCAGAAAATTGTCCATGCAGGTCCACATCTTCGGTACCTCCCGATACTCCATATTTTCATGATTTTTGCGACATTATTCTCCGTAATTGTTACAAATTTCGTATTTGAAGTTCGTAATGGGCACTACAGCCAATGACAAAACATTTCGTATCCAGGTCCACGTCTTCGTATAGTCCCCATATAACGGTTTTCATTTAAGTGGTAATTTTCGGATTTTTTTTTTTTTTGAAAATTTTTAATTTCCTTAGAAATGGTGGAGGGTATTAAAAGTTCGGTCAGGCCAGGAACTTAGCTTCTTTTTTACTCGTTTTATTAGTAATATTAACTGTTTGTAACTCATCGAAATAATCATTAATCGAAAAAGTGTTTATATTCTTCATCAGCCTAAAATCGGTTTAGTCGTTAAGTCGGTTTAGCCATATCCGTTCGTCTGTCCGTCTGTTGTTATCACGTTAGAGTCCAAACGACATGTGATAGGAAGCTGAAATTTAGCTTAGAATTGTCTTTTGTCTGCTGTCGGGTCAAGTTCGAAGATGAGCTATACCAATCAACGTTTTCATATAGCCCTCATAAATAAATGTAGCTACCCAGAGATACATTATTAGATTAACATTTGGTATTTACAGTTTGTATTGGATATAGATCCACGTTTTCCTATATCCCTCATGTAAAGGTATCTCTCGATATTTGATATTTTAGCCACACTTTTTTACGGAATAGCTTAAAATTCGGCATTTAGAGTTCACAATATGTTCTACGTCTTGTGGCAGAACATTGCCCATATAGGTCCTCGTTTTCGTAAAGCTCCCATATATATGTACCTTCGTATATTCGGTATTTTATATAGCTGTAGTTCGATATTTAGAGTTCATATTGGATTTTATATTCTATAGCAGAACACTGTCCATTTAGGTCCCACTTTCCCCATATAAAAGTACATCCCGATATTCGGTATTTTGATGATTTAAGGCACATTTTCTAACGGAATTACTTCAAATTCAGTTTTTGTATTCCGTAATGGGCTCTTCTGCGTATATTAAACAATTTATATATAAGTCAATATTTTTCTAATCCCCTATCGTTCCGATATTCGGTATTTTTATGATTGTAACCCAACTTGTTTACATATTTGCTTGAAATTTGGATTGTATGTTCCTAACAACAGAAGTGACACATGCCCCTCCAATACTGGAATTCCTGCAATTACAGACATATTTTTACATGAGTTATTTTCCAAATGGTGTAGGGTATAAAAAGTTCGGCGCGGCCAAATTTAACTTGTTTGATTTTTCATTATTATACCCTCCACTTTGGAAAGGAGGGGATATTAACTTTGTCATTCCGTTTGTAACATCCTTAAATATTCGTCGTAGACCGCATAAAGTATATGTATATATTCATAATCAGCATAAAATTCTGAGTCGATTTAACGATGTCCGTCTGTCTGTCCGTTTGTCTGTCTGTCCGTCTGTTGAAATCACGATACAGCCCGCCTTATTTGACGTAGAGTGCCAAAATTTAGCAGAGCTTTTTGTATTTTGTCTAGGATGGTTGGTATTGAAAATGAGATATATCGGTCCACGTTCTGGTATAATCCTAAGGTAACGGTACCTCCCGATATTCGGCATTTTGATGATTTTTGCCATATTTTTTCACTGATTTGTCTAAAAATTGGTATTTGTGGGTCATAACGCGTCCCTGAGCGTGTGGCAAAACATTGCATGAATAGGTCCACGTTTTGGTATAGCCCCCATATAAAGGTACCTCCTGATATTCGGTATTTTAATTTTTTGTTTGCCACATTTTTTCACGGATATGTCTAAAAATTGGTATTTGTTGGTCATAACGGGTCCCTGTGCGTGTGGCAAAACATTGGGTGTATAGGCCCACGTTTTGGTATAGCCCCCATACAACGGTACCTCCCGGTATTCGGTATTTTGATGGTTTTTGCCACATTTTTTCACTGATTTGTCTAGAAATTGGTATTTGTTGGTCATAACGGGTCCCTGTGCGTGTGGCAAAACATTGGGTGTATAGGCCCACGTTTTGGTATAGCCCCCATATAAAGGTACCTCCTGATATTCGGTAATCTGATGATTTTTGCCACATTTTTTCACGGATTTGTTTGAAAATTCATATTTGTTGGTCATAATGGGTTTCAGCCCTGGTGGCGAAACATTGGATGTATGGGTCCATGATTTGGTATAGCCCCCATATAACGGTACCTCCCGATATTCGGTTATTTGATGATTTTTGCCACATTTTTTCACGGATTTGTCTAAAAATTGGTATTTGTTGGTCATAACGGGTCCCTGTGCGTGTGCCAAAACATTGCATGTATAGGTCCACGTTTTGGTATAGCCCCCATATAACGGTACCTCCCGATATTCGGCATTTTAATGGTTTTTGCCACATTTTTTCACGGATTTGTCTAAAAATTGGTATTTGGGCGTCATAATGGGTTTCAGCTCCGGTGGCGAAACATTGGATGTATGGGTCCATGATTTGTTATAGCCCCCATATAACGGTACCTCCCGATATTCGGCATTTTAATGGTTTTTGCCACATTTCTTCTAATGTTCCCTTTACCCTAAGGTGGAGGGTATTAAAAGTTTGGTCCGGCCGAAAAAAATTGTTGTTTTTTTTTTAAATATTTTACGTTCAATAAATTTTTGATTTATTTTTATTTATTTATTATATATTTTTTATTTATTTTATTCATATTTATATATTTTTTTTAATTTTCAATTTTAATTTGTATATTTTTCTTTTACCTTTTTAAAATAGGTTACGATTATGAAATGTGGTTAAATCCGCATGATGATTCAATTTACTCATTATATCAAGGTGAGTGCATGCTTAGGTCTTAGATCAAATTATGATTTTCTATAAATCAAGAAGTAATTGAAGAGATGGAGAAATTAAATTAAAATCTGGATATATCGGAATCCATTTTTGAAATTTCTAAAATTTCCTTGTTGGATCAAAAAATCTTGAAATTCAATAATAAACAAATATTTTACTTAAACTCAATATTTGGCATCAAATGTCGCTTTAAAATAAACCCATTATAAAAAAACGTCATTAATAATAAGCTCCCTTTTACAAGGACAACAAAACACTTCATAAACCATTTTCGGTCCACTCCCTTTTCAAATGGCATCCTTCCTTCCAACTTCCTTGGCAATTGCGTAAAATTGTAAGACAATCTCGGGGAACACAGCACCCGAAAACGACTGACTGCAGTAATTAAACTTTATTTACGATAACGCATAATCAAGTAATTGTATTTATGCAGTTAATCTTAAAATTTATGTTTAACTCACAAATGAACTCATTATTATGCGGCAGAATAGTCCAACTCATACTTCTTAAGGTGGCTGAGTGTAGGGTGGGGTGGGGTATAGGGTGCGGTGTGTTGGTGACAGAATGGGGTATCCAAGTGATATGGATCGTTGTGCACACGGTTATACTGGTACGGAAGGATAGCCGAGAAGACAGATGGAATTTTTATAATTTTTTTTGAAGAATTGAAAAAATTCAATATTTTAAATTCTCATTGAAAATTCGTTCGAAAAATTGGAAAAAAAACCATGTCTAAATGCTTGAATTTGAAACTAATACCATCCACCATATGGAGAGACTTAAGCAGTTTTCAAAAAAAAAAAAAAAAAAAAAAAAAGAAAGCTGTAAGTTCGGCCGGGCGGAACTTTTAATACCCTCCACCATTTGGTACAAATTTGGCAATTTCCACAAAAAAAAAGAAAAATAAATAAATAAATAAAATCCGTTAAAAATTCTGTTAAAATATTAAAAGTACCGAATGCCTATACGACGACGTGGACCTGCATAGACAACTTTTGTCATAAGTTATCACAATATTTAAATACGAAACTTGAAGAAAAATCTGTTTATAATGTAGCTAAAATCATCAAAAAACCGAATATAGGGGTACCGTTATATGGGGGCTATACCAAAACGTGGACCAGAACAGAGAATTGTCTGTTTTAGGCTGTAGCATTCATTACGAACTTTAAATACCAAATTTGAAACATTTCCGGCGAATAATGTCGCTAAAATCATCAAAATACCGAATATCGGGAGGTACCATTATATGGGGGCTATGGACGTGGGTGTGGACCTGAACAGGCAATTTTTTGTCTTAGGCTGCAGCATCCCATACGAACTTCAAATACCAAATTTGAAACAATTCCGGCGAATAATGTCGCTAAAATCATCAAAATACCGAATATAGGGAGGTACCGTTATTTGGGGGCTATACCAAAACGTGGACCTGAACAAAAAATTTTCTGTCTTAGGCTGTAGTATCCCATACGAACTTTAAATACCAAATTTAAAATAATTTCGGTGAATAATGTCGCTAAAATCAACAAAATGCCGAATATCGGGAGGTACCATTATATGGGGCCTATACGAAGACGTGGACCTGAACAGGCAATTTTCTGTCTTAGACTGTAGTATCCCATACGAACTTCAAATACCAAATTTGCTATACCAAAACGTGGACCTGAACAGGCAATTTTCTGTCTTAGGCTGTAGTATCCCATACGAACTTCAAATACCAAATTTGAAACAATTCCGGCGAATAATGTCGCTAAAATCATCAAAATACCGAATATCGGGAGGTACCATTATATGGGGCCTATACGAAGACGTTGACCTGAACAGACAATTTTCTGTCTTAGGCTACAGTATCCATTACGAATTTCAAATACCAAATTTGAAATAATTCCGATGAATAATGTCGCTAAAATCAACAAAATGCCGAATATTCGGAGGTACCGTTATATGGGGGCTATACCAAAACGTGGACCAGAACAGACAATTTTCTGTCTTAGGCTGCAGTATCCATTACGAACTTCAAATACCAAATTTGAAACATTTCTGGCGAATAATGTCGCTAAAATCAACAAAATGCCGAATATCGGGAGGTACCATTATATGGGGCCTATACGAAGACGTGGACCTGAACAGACAATTTTCTGTCTTAGGCTGTAGTATCCCATACGAACTTCAAATAAAAAATTTGAAACAATTCCCGTAAATAATGTCGCCAAAAATTTTCAAAATACCGAATATCGGGAGGTACCGGTATATGGGGGCTATACCAAAACGTGGACAATACCATAAGCCCTGCATACATAATATATATTTGAGTAAAATTTTATCAACCTACTCGACTTAGTTCGGAAGCTAGAGTGATTTCCACGGATGGACTGACGGATAGACGGTATATGCTGATCAAGAATACAAGGTGAGATGATAAAAACTGCAACCAACTTCCGACTGCTGTCATTTCTAAGACACTCGTCCGACAGCTGTTAAAATTATTCCAGTGACAGCTAATTTTACTGTTTACAAGTGTTCAAAATCATTTTGTTGAGAATTTTCCAGAAAAAAAGTTATTCGTGATGGAGTCCAAGCTGGATAGTGTGATTTCTTTATATTTGGCTGGAAAGTCGCACGTGGCTATCGTTAGAGCACTCCAGCATTTAAATGTGAATAAATCTTGTATACCTCTACCATCGCTCGTTACCGTGATGGCAGACTGGTAGCGCAGCCCGACGTCAGGGAAGTGGAGGAAAGAAAACAGCAATATCAGCAGAAATAGTTCGAAAAATAAAAAAAGCGACTTGATCGAAACCCGCATTGCAGTGGCCGAAAAATGGCTCGTGAGCTGAACATATCGCAATATTCCATTCGGCAAATATTGAAAAATGAGCTCGGGGTAAAGCCATTGAAATTCCAAAAAAGTGCAAGAACTTACACCTGCAACAGAAAGAAAATAGACTTCGCTTGGCCGAAAGTGGTGAACTGCCGAATTTGGTTTTTTCCGATGAGAAAACATTCGTTGTTCAACAGTTTGTAAGCGAACAAAATGATCGTGTTTACTTGTCGAAGAGGTCAACTGAAAATGTGCACCTTCGGTTGGCCACCAGAACTCAAGCGCCGGTCATGGTGATGGTGTGGGCCGCCATAACAGCCTATGGTTGCTCTACGCTCGTATTAATCGACCTTGGTATCAGAATAAATGCCGAATATTATCGCGAAAATATTCTGAAGGGTGTATTAAAGCCTTGCGCACGCAAACATTTTGGCAGCAGGCAAATCGGACGAAGATATATATGGGAGCTATATCTAAATTTTGAGCGATTATCTCCAATTTCAATAGGGCTCGTCCTTGGGCCAAACATATGATTTGTGCAAAATTTCATCTGGAAGGGGTTATAAATGCGAACTGTACTTTGTTTACAGAAATACATGGACAGACGGACGGACGAACATGCATAAATCGACTCAGAATGTGTTTCTATGCAGATCATCAAAAGGAACTATGGGTCTATCTCGTTTCCTTTTGCCTGTTACAAACAAATGCACAAAGACATAATACCCTGACCACCTTGTTGTGTAGGGTATAAAAAGAATGTAAAAATTATGGCGTTTGAATTTGTTGCAGTTTTTTATCTCACCCTGTATGTGAAATATCAGCCCAAGTTATATAGATTTTTTCATATTCAACCGAATAAAAATTGTTAATATAATCCTTATCGAAGTCAAATCATGCAATGTTTTTTGGAACTAGAGGTGCGAAAGCCTCCGTCAAATTTGTTGAAAATAGATTCAGAGTTGATTTAGTTCCCAAATTGTGCCTACTCTAAAACCACGATACGCATTCCAATAAGGTTCATAGTTGGTATGATCTACTACACATATATACCCAATATAAACTTTTTTTTTACGGAAGCTTTACTGGATACGCAGGGTATCATATATTTTCATTATTTCCCTTAATTGATATCCTTGGATATCCTTGTCCCATTTTTTTTCACTCAGTGATTTTTGCGACGTGAACAAAAAGCTCAAGCAAGATGACCGTCCCCATCCATCTTTGAAAAAATAGGCCTCCATTTTCTAAAAATTATTTTCCCATGTTTCCCCATTGGCTATCCTTCCCTCATTTATTTTATTCACCCGTTTTTTGCATCGTAAAACTTACTCTAACCCGTTCTTTTCTCTTTTTTGTTACTTTATTCCTTTCCGCAAAATGGCATCCTTCCGCCTTCAACAATTCAAATAGAAATACAATAAAAAAGGCAACAACAACGACGACAAAAACAACAAAAAACATTTTCTTCATTTGCAACAATTGATGGTAGTAAAAATTATTTGCTTTAGAGCTGTTGCCTGGTGTCTTTGTCTTTGAGAGCTGGCAGAGGAAGGCAACTCGGAGAACAAAACAACAAAATGAGGAAGAATAACACCGACACGGAAAGACATAATTAAAGGTTTCAAAGGATTTGTTTTATTAGCTGTCGTTGTCGTCGTTGGGTCCTTGGCTGGTGGTACTGGTAGCTGGTAGCTCTGGTGTCTTGAATGCAACTCGAACATAAATGTCGTATCAGAGATTTTCAAGAAAGTGTTTATGACTCTACCGAAAAATCCAAAATTGAACGTGGGTAATTTAATGGGGTTACCAAATAAAAGTTTTGATTTTCTTCAATTCGATCATAAAGCCTGGTTAAATTGTCATGAAATTTAATAAACTCGTCGATTTAAAGCGACTTTATTTTAATGCGAAAGGGCAATTGTTTTGCTTGTGTCTTAAAATGATGGGGGGGTTTATTTTCAAACAGGTGTAAAATTTTGAAAATTTTATTGAAGTTTTATAGAATTTAACGGCATGATATCAAATGTGAGCGTACTGAAGATATGAAACGTAAATGGAGACATTAATATTTTAATGGCCTAACGCCAGAATTTTAATGCAGGTTTCCTTAATTAAACCACTTAATGGAACGACAGATTCAATAGATTTTCAGAGCTAC